GTGGTATCCCGCCTTGAGGTCCAGCGTGCTAAAGACCACGGCCCCACTCAACCTATCGAGTATATCCTCGAATCTCGGGATCGGGTACTTCTCGTCTACCGTGTTATCGTTCAATTTACGATAGTCTACTACCACCCTGTATTTTTCCTTATTATCCCCCGGCGCTGCCTTCTTTTTCACCGCCCACAGGGGACTATTGAATGGTGAGGTGCTATCAACTATGATTCCCTGTTCTTTTAGACTATCTAGCTCCTCCCGAATATGCTGTCTCAACGCCTGCGGGTATCTTCTCTCTTTCACGTAAGTTACCCTCTCCTGTTTCAGTGGGATTTCGTGCACCGTCCTCCCTGTTACTCCTAATACCTCACCTTCCCTGAAGAAGATATCCCTAAACTCCTCTTGTAGCAACTTCCTCCAGTCCTCCACTCTGTCCACCGCTCCTATCCGCACCCTTCTTTCTCTCGCGACCCCTATACATCCGAACTTCCTCTTTCCTAACCTAACGCTCCAGACTCCTCTACGGTTCCTAATGCTCGCCCCTACCTGACCTAACAAATCGCACCCTACTATGACTTGGTATTCCCGAGTCATGTTCTCTACCACATGCACCGTTAGCTCACCCTCTTTCCCTGTCCACCGATCAAGCCCAATTGTCGCCTCACCCTCTACACTACAGGGACCACCCAGAGTGATCAGCTGGCAGTCACATTTCTGTATCCGGAGTACCCTCTCGCTCCCGCACCCTTTTCCTAACGCCCTTCGAGTCATAATAGTGCTCGAGCTACCCGTGTCCACAAGACACTTTACTCCCCCGTCTACTTCGATAATTGGCAACCAGCATGGCTTACCTCGGATGTTGTTGCATATTGCTGTGCGGTCGCCTCTCTGCCGACACACTCCTCAGATGTCGTCCCGCTTCCTCCTTTCTGCCGCCGCTCGTCGCTGCTCACTCCGTTGGCTGCGCCTACCTCCTTCACCTCCGCTGCTGCCTGGTTCGTCCGTCTCCGTTCCCGACGCTCCTGACTCCTCGGTTGCCTCCTCCGAAGATCCGTCCCGCTGATGTACCCTGGCTCGTCTTCTCATCCTCTGCACATTCACCTCCATGGGTTCGTCCTGAGGTCTCTCCCTCCTGTGAAATATGTATGGGCACTGCCTTGCTATGTGCCCTTCCGTCCCGCACTCGAAGCATCTGGTGCGCGGACATTGCGCTACTAAATGTCCCGGCTTCCCACACCCGTGACATTTTCTCTCTTCCCTCCGGGGCCCATTCCTCGGCCTCGACGACTGTCCCGATCTTCTTTCCCTCGTCGGGGCTTTTTCTCCACTCGGCTGCCTGGTGTCCCTCTTCTTCCAACCTGTCGGGGCTGTCCATGGTCGTCTATCCGTCACCCGGGTCCAACCCGGTTCTTCCACATCCATCCGTGTCTCCTCCTCTCTGGCACTTAGGTCGATCATCTCCTGGGCGCATTCGAGGAACGATCGCTCCCTGGGCAGTCCGTCCCTCTTCCCCGTTTCTTTAGCCAGCTGGACTTTCAATATTGTCGACAGAAACTCCATCCTGGCTTCGACCTCTCCCACGCTCATTGTTTCCCGCATCTTCTCGGTTATGCGATTGTACTTCGCCACGAGTACTCCCGCATATTGCCCCCTTGACTGTCGTTGGGCCCGCCGCTCCCTAAACATTTGGAATATGTCCTCTTCCGGTGTCCACCTACCTCCTCCAAAAGCCTTCTTCAGCCGCTCCTTAATCACCGGCCACGGAGTCTCCTCGTCCGCTTGGATCTGGTTCAGGACGTTCCTCCTTACTCGGCACACAAGAGCTGCTTTTAGTTCTTCAGCGTCCCCTAGGTTCACCAGGTCCTCCGCCACCTTCACCTCGATTCTTGACATAAGACGATCTCCGCCTTTCAAGAAATGGTTGAGCTCGCCTACCTCGCCTCCGAATCGTTCCAGGTCCGCAATGGCCCTCCGTAAGTCCTGCGTGGTTGTTGCTCTTATTTTCATCCATTCCAAGGCATTGGCGTGTGCTTCTGCCAACGTGTCCCTTGGTAATGGAGGGATCTCCTGGATCTGAGGGATCTGTGCTACCTGAGGGACTTGAGGTATCTGAGGTACCTGAGGCGCGATCTGGGGTACCTGATTGATCTGTGGAATATCCTGAGGTTGAGGAATTTCCGGTACGCTTAGTACTCCCGGTCTAATCAAACCTTCTGTCGGCATTTCACCTTTTCCTTAAACACCAACAAAAAAAAATATCTACTAAAAAAAAAATTACTTCCCTGACGTTGTCCCGGGTTTCGGCACCAGTTAAGCGTCGTCGGACTTAGAAAACAAAAAAAAAGAAGGAAAAGGGAAAAGATGTAACATACACGACTTCTGAAATAACACTGCTTTATTCGTTCCATAAGCCTCCTTATATACACTTAGCCTGTTTATTTACATTACCAGATAGTATTAAGGCTGATACCGCCAGTCTCCGGTCTTTATCTTATATATATATATATATATATCATATTTCTCCGAAAACGATAGATTTCGAATTTAATTACCGAATGACTCCAAAATTACACAATTTAGGTATATTAAACCTATGAATATTTGAAAATTTCCTAAATTCCATGCAAATTGAAAAAAATAAAATAAATAAGAAATCGAATGAATCATGTCTGATTAGATATTCTTATTACTTATTTTTTCTTAACTTTTTTCAGTTTATATATATATATATATATAAAGATAAGGACAGGAGTCGGGCAGTATCAGCCTTAATACCTTTCTGGTATGTAAACAAAGCTCTGAAATGTATATAAGAAGGATTACTTCACAAATAAAGTAGTATTGTTTCTGAAGCCGTGTGAGTCATTTATCAACCTTTTCTCCTTTTTTTTTTAACATTTTATTTCACAGTCGCATAAGTTATATATATATATATATATATAAAATTTAGAGTTCTTATATGACAAATTTATAATTGCCCTATTGATATAGTGTGAATTAAATTATTATGGCCGAACACTAGTGTATATAATTCTTAACTTACCTTAAGTGTTTTCTATTTATATTATTATTTTCAGTTGTTTACTTACTTGCATTTTACATTAGTTTATAAATAAGAAATGTATATTTTATATCATATTTTTATGAAATAAAATAAAGTATCATGCGTAATATTTTTTTTTTGTCTTGTTATCCAGAGCGTGAATACGTAATGTCGATTTCAGATTATTTTGTTTTCATGCAAAATATTAGTCTTTTAATTGTTTGCCTCGTTGGAGCAGAATTGATTTCCATTGATAATTCAACTTTGATAAAATTCCAAGCTATATTTATACCATGACAGGTGATAGGATTTAATAAAATGAGAAATAGATAATTGTCCATAATTCTTTATTAACACTTTAAATAAAAAGTTGCCATCTTTTCTATATTATTATATATTTATATATAGTGAACAGCTGTAAGGGAATATTCGATATAAAAAAAACAACTGCCAACCTTCTTAGAAGTAGATTGTGGATCTCAGCTACTAAGAGGTATAGTTGAAAAGAATATCGAATGCTTAGGCCCATTGGTATAACAAAAACAAGATAATAGTAACAAAATATTAAAAACAAGCTGCCCTTTTCAAGGAGACAGCGTACTTGTGAAACAATGAAAGACATTAATTAAAAACATTTTGCACTATTTTCTTTTGTTTATTTTACATTCTGATATACAATAAATAATAGATTACAGACTATTACAACTGGGACGAGTTCATCTTCCTGAGGGAGAAGGGGATTTTAAAGCTTAGTAAGATGAATAATATAAATATGTATAGAAGTGATAAGGTGCTGGTTTCACATTCAACACTACAAATGGAATGTAAAATGTACGGAATTTAAAGATCTTCCTAACAGCTCAGAGTTCAGCAACACTCGTCGAACCGCGTCTCATCTGACAAACATATTCTAGCCTGGAACCGAAGCTCCCAACATAAAATTTAAATATATACATATATTATAAAACCCTAAAGAGATATAATTGTTTTCGAAAAATTGGTGGAGGGGGACATGTGAATTTATTGCCACAACGAAACATATTATAGCCCCCTAAAGGATTTTAGATGCGCGAGCGTCTCTCTCTCTTTCTCCCTATAAAATATTATTCTCTCGTTACAGGTCTAAAACAGGTAAAACAGCGATAACTGATCACAATTGTTTCAAATTCAGGTATAACAAATGGAATAAATATTTAAGTACAGAAAGAAAACTATGAATCAACATTTGAGCTTGGATCTATAGGAGGTTCCTTGATCCAACTTTGCTGGGTGGATTATGCAGCCGAGGAGGATAAACTAACCGTACTGTACCCTGTCTCAACTATTAACCTATTTATTTATCTCTAAATTATTTAAATATCAAACTGTCAACTGCCAGCTCAACCCTCTCACGACCAGAAACAAGATGATAAAAAACAAAACTAGAGAACAACACCTAACTGAACCGGCTATTTTACACAATTTACCAAATAATCAAATCTTATCAATATTAAACCTATTATTTATCATCAAACTGTACAAAGAGAACCGTTCGGGGAATCTTATTTACAATTCAAAAGTAACAAAAAGGAACAAAAGGAACCGCAAAACGTTTCTTAGAGCAACTCCATCAACTAAGTACATACACATTATGTAAAAAGTACATTTACAAGTACATGGTACTCATCAACAAAACTCACATAATCTTAAAGCGGAAACATGCATCTCTATATAACAGTCTATAGTCCTTCGAAGACTGCCAATATACACAAGTACATTTTATACAAATGTTCACATCTCATATACATAATAACTCTCATTCATTTGTACACTGAAACATTTATACACACTGAACTCAGCGAGTATCTCAAGTCCACTGATAACATTATGAGGGCGATTTGAGAATCTACCCGAGATAAAAAATATCGAAAGTTTATAAAGCACCATCCCGTTCCTACAGATAATCTGTAGGCATGTAATATTATTGTCCTTTCTCCTTGAGCCCTTGAAGGAGGTGTTCGGTGGTCATGAGTGTGGGTGCGGGTTGGTGGGCATAATTCCTGATCTGGTGGAGGGAGATGAGCTGGTTGGGGAACCCGTTGGAGGTGACGGGCGCCTTGGGGATTTCCATCCCGACAGAAGTCTGCACGCCCGGCAGCTGCCCCATCTTGGTCCCGGGGAAGGCGATAGTGTTGTAGGACAAGTAGGCCGGTCTATGGTGATCCATCTGGTGATGGTTGAGGTGGTTGTGATGGTGGCTCGGTACCCCCATCGACTGGATAGGCGTGAACGCCGAGGCTGAGGAAGTGTTGGTCTTCCCCGATATGACGGAGTCGTGGTAGTTGAGGGGTGAGCCGGTAGCCGAAGGAGTCGGAGGAGGTGCTGGTGGCTGTACTCCTCGCATATGGTGGTCTTCGCCGTTCATGTCAGGCCTGTGGTGCAGATGGTCCGGAAGGACACCGTTCTGGCCGTAGGCGTCGTGCTGCTGCATCACATCGACTAGGTTGTTGGCTGTGTCGGGCGACACCTTGGGCCAATAGTGAGGGTTGTCTAGGCTCACTCTGGGTATTCCGATGATCGGAGGCCTCTTGTCCGTCCTCTCTGCGTGCTTCTGCATGTGCTTGGTCAAGTAAGTCTCTTGGGTGTAGGACTTTCCGCAGTATTGGCAGATGTGAGTCTTGAGATGTTTGGACTCTTTATGCTTGGGTATGTGTTCGAGGAGCGATGGTTCGTCGCTGAAACACTTGTAGCAGGAATTGCATTTGTAAGGTTTATCAGTCTGGTGGCAGCGGGAGTGGGACTGGAGATTGCTGAGTTGGCTGAAGGCCTTGTTGCAGCCCGGGTGCCGGCACTTGTAGGGCTTGTCGCCGGTGTGGGTGCGGATGTGCTGCTGGAGGTGGGACAGCTGGGTGAACTTCCTCTGGCAGATCTCGCAGCGGTAGGGCTTGATGCCCAGGTGGATCCTTGTGTGCTGGCTCAGGTAGGAGCTGTTCGCGAACGTCTTGCTGCACTGGTTGCACTTGTAAGGCTTCACCTCTCGCATGTGCAGCTGGGAATGCAGCTGCAGCTCCGATTTCGATGAGAATATCTGAAACAGAATAGAAAACTCACGTTAGGAAAACCGTCTTAAATTAAAATAAAAAGTCAAGTAAAAGGACATTCATGAAGTAAACATCTACTAAGAGGTGATAAAAGTTTTAACAATAACCAAGCGCATGGAATCGTCAACACAATCACAGATCTCATCATATTCGATAGAACTATTTATAGAACTATCTAGATATTTATTTGTATTAAGAAATAACATGTATTTGAAAATATTAAGCTACTGAGAATAACAAAACCCTTAAAAGATATAAGAGATTTCAAGGACATTCTCGTGATAATCTTTGAGCAGGACTGCATGAATAACAGTGAACGAGACTGACGATTATAATTGTTAATAGTTGGATGGAACTTGAAAGATTTGGAAGAGATGAGATCGAGGGAGAGCTCTATATTAAGGTCATAACGCAGGATGTTGAAGAATCTATTTGAAAGGAAAGAGAATTTTTGCTGGCGGGCCCTGAGAACTTGGGTCATTATCTTTCGGTTTGGGCCGGTTTATCTTCACTAGGATATTTATGTCGACTTTAAGCCCTGGCTCGATTTATGTTATTGGAGTTCTGACCTTCTGCGCAGGTCAGGCCAATGTCGCCCTGTCTGCTCTGCATAACAGCTACTGCCGTCCTCGTTCAAACACAGTATAATACATTGCATTTAAGTCAGCGCGTATACATTCACTGATCTTCTGTGTTCCTAACAGCCACATCGATCAAACCTAAGGAGGCAGTTACAGATGCAGAAATTAGCTCGATAAAATTAATCAACATCGATTTAGAGACTGATCTATATGCGAATCGATTATTGTAAAAGAGTAGACAGATATATATGTATATAATGGAAAGTAGGCAGGTACAATCGAGCCAGTAATGTAGTATATTATCGAGCCTAGGCCGGGAAGATATATCGCCTATAACTGTCTTCACATATTTATCTGGACAACTGCATTTACATATTCTTTATCAGTTACATTTCTGATCCCTATTCCTTTACAGCCAATTACACACGTATTTATTTTTATCCCCTTCCAATTTGTTTTTATTTTCTCCTCTTCAATTCGATATGGGATTTATTCATCTGATAAATAGCACTTACAAAAACTCTATTTCTAATCTATTACATTAAGTTGAGTTTTCACAATATGGTTTCATCTGACAAGATATTCGATGGTATTTTATACGTTTAAGAAGTGAATACATTCAATAAAAAAATATGCCTCGCTGACATAGCAATATTTATTCTGCTATGAATGAATATTGAATGATCCGTTCAAATCCTTTAGATTAATATAAATTAATCATAACAAATATAAGATTCCTACTTTCGCTTACGCTAACAAAAAGTATAATATACCCTCGTTTTGTGAATTCGTTTCTAGATCTTATTTTATGAAATGAAAAAAGTATAAATTATTTATAATGGCTCGGATATAAAAGAATATTGTAATAGACACTAATAAATATTAATATGATTGTATTAATTTAATAAATATTAGAGATAAGATAGATTAGTATTGAAGAATGTATTCAAGATTCGTGAAGGATATTTACATAGATATCACCTGAGCATCTTAACAAGGAGTTTCCGTCAGGGCATATAGTCCGGCGCCACAGAACTAAAAAATTCTCTCTTTTTTTTTTTTCTAAATTCGTCCTCCCCGATGTTCCTGACAGCTTTATAATCCTACGACACTGGATTTATGCCACATCGGAGGACACCTCTTAACACCATGATGAGGAAATGACAAATTGGTACGATATAGTCTATTTCTCTGACGCTGGTCCCGAATTTAGGGCTGACATTTTGACAGCCGAAGAAATTTGTCAACCTGCCCGACTCTGCCGCACTCCTTACCGATTTATTATTATTATTATTATTTTTGTTCACTTCTCTTACGTCTAAAATATATAATTTAAGCAGGGCAAGTGGTAAAAAAAATGGTGGAAGTTTGTCTATGATAATCCCAAAAATGTAATTTAATGTTAGTATTTTTGAAAAAAAAAAAAAAAGATACATAAATAACAATTTTTTTCTTTTACATTAGCCGTCTATTTATTTAATAAGTATTATTCCATTTAGTTTTTTTTTTTAATTACAAAGATAATTATTGATGAAACATTGCATAATTTAATATAATGCCTACACGTCATACTAGTATTTGAATACGTGGTAAATTAAAATCCCACTTAACAGGTTAATTGTTAAGTGGTAGAAAATATATATATGTATACAAGGGCCTAGTTCATTGATTTCAAAAGAGCTTTCGACTCGATTAAAGTCAAGAGATTTATGATGTTTAAATTAGGAACAGGAAAACGTGGGGAAAAATATAGCGGAAAAGAAGAGTGAAAATATTGCGCGACGGGAAAACACAAGTATCTTTCTGATTTAACTGGAGTGTTTATTTTTTGGGAATTTTAAAAGAAATTGTAAAAACGCTTTTGTAAAAAAAAAAAAAAGTGTGTGCTTTAGACCACGCGATAGAAGTGAAAACAATAACAAAGCGAGATTAATAATATGGAATATAAATTATAAATAATAGCTCATTATAAAGAGGATGAAATGCTGAACATTTCCCACGCTTACATTATGCAGGTCTGATTTTTAGTTTCTGAGATATTTCAATCCATATGCGAAAACACTTCAATTAGTGGACTCCAGACGACTATACCCGAGAGTTACACATCGGAGATCTGACGGCTCAATCTAATTCACTCTCCACAAAAAAAAGTGCAAAACCCATCTAAAGAAGTTTCCACTTAAAAAAAAAAAAAAAAAAATACGGCAGATGAGTAAATAAACATTTAAATTCTCGAAACGTGGGTGTTGAAATATTTACCTATTCTACCTAACGATTTTGAAGTATTACTAAATCGAAACGGATTATGATAAATCAATAAAGATAGAAGAAACGGCCAAAAAGATAATAAAATTTGGAAATAAGTCAAGTTAGTGAGACTGTGGAAGAGAGAAGGAGTTTTAGGTTCTTGGGCTATAACTCCAAAACCTGACTCGAGAACTCAATAAATTGTCATCAGTCCAGTTTCGCAACGAGAAAGTTGATACACGAGTACACCATCCAGTCATCGGCGGCCCGTACATATTATAATTCGATAAAAATTATAAACCGATATTATAATAATTTTTTATTTTAATTAATAATTTGTTCGTAATAAATATTCTTTGAAAATGGTTTATGAAAGAAAGTTCAAGTCTATATGAACAGTTTCGTACAGGTCTGTATGAGATTTGCTAAGAAACATGTCTATCAATAATAAAAGTATCATTTTTTATCCTAGACAGAATCTTAGGTATATGTGTACATATTATAACAGTACAAAGTATTGACATTAAAATATAATACATAGTTTTAATTTATTTATAAAACTAGATATTCAATTTGAGTTTCATATTATCTACTTTAATTGACATAAATAACAAATAGTACAAGATTTAATTTAATCAGTAAAGCAATAAAGTTCTCATCGGATCCAAAATAAATAAAAAAATATGTTTTTTCATATAAATTTACTTTTAAAAAAAATAATAATAAGATGATAAACGATATGATGAACGATACGCCTCGACCACATTTAAATTAAAATTGTTTAACTGTTGTTAAAGATCGGAAATGTTTTCTTTATCTAATCTTTAATTCATTGATACTTAAATCAAATAGAGAGGTGTAGGACATGTTAATATACTCACATAGTATATGTTAACCCATTTTTTCCGTAATGTTTAAAATTATTTGTTGACATATATTTTTTAAAAACTATAGTTACAGGAATAATATCTGCGTGTATTTGTTTCATATATTATAATCATATCGAATAAATCGTAGCGATAATTATAGCGAATAAAACGATGAAATGTATAGGATATCTCCAAAATGTAACGATAAAATTAATAAACCGAAATTGTAAATAGCTTTAATTATCGAACTATACCTCCATTCTATATTTTAAAAAAATAATAATAAATAATGCCTGAAATAAAAATAACTTAAAATTTTGATAATTAACTACTGACATTTTTTTTTTCTAAAATAAACGAACAAAATAATTCAATTTCGTCTAAAACGTGAATATTTTTGATTACAGAAACTCAATTTTTTTTTTCAATTCCAATAACCTCTGTTTATTTTAATGACTGACACGGTAAATAATTAAAACGTACTTTAATTATTTATTTAGTTTTTTTTTTTCAATTTTCCGGTTCAATAAATGCTAGGACTAATTTAGAAGGTTTTTATTTGTTCTGTTCTGTTTATTATAATTTTTTTTTTAATTCTCTTGTTTACTCGAGTTTTAATTTGCACTGTCAAACGGACCGTAATGTTAATACATTTTATTTATCCTGCGCCAATAAAGAGATAAGGGTAAATATAATTAACTGGACATAAAGTTTAATCAGTAACTACATATTATATTTTTTTTTAGTTATTGATTTATTTTATTTACAGTATCTGATGGAGTGTATTGGATGTCAAAATTTATATCTATTATATTAAGGTTGTGGAAATAATATTTAACTAGAATTTATTGTCATTGTCTGTTGATGTTATCTTTATAATATGCTGGATTTTAATGATTATTCGTCGTATTATGTATAAATATGAAATTATACGTATCATAATATTCAGATGAAAATCAACTAATGATTTTTTTAAATTTAATTTTATGTAAATAACATTATTTATTATCCTCTAACGAAAAAAATATATATCCAAATTAATTTCAATTATATATAAAGTCCTTCTGTGTTGTGTGTAAGCGTCATATGTATATATTAAATAACATTGGTCGGAGAACACTGCCAAGAAGTATTCCTTAAGGCATAGTTTATAATTTAACTATTGAAAAGCTTAACAAACCTCTCTAACCATGCTATTTATTTCAGGTTTTCATTAATTTGAAATAACTCATGGGATCCGTTATTATGTATAAAATTTACAGTGAAAGGTCTTAGTCCGCCGTGTAGACA